GACTCTCTGAGACAGGTGTGGTTATGTATACTTCTGTGGACTGTTTATTGAAATATATGTTCATACTGTATATACCAATGGGATAAATTTATACTGTATACTGTATCGTAGATCAAGGCACCTAATATCTCCCCCTGCATTCCCCACCAGACTGGGGTTAGCTATTAGTTTGTAACATTAATGTACACAGCGTAAGATTAACTTCTTTCTGAAAAAATGGATACAAATTCTCCTGCGCTGCCAGTACCCCTAGAAATCTTCAGTAAACTGTGAATCAAGTAGTGACCACTGAAAAAACTCCTCCACCAGCTAGCGTGCATGCTCACCTCCAGCCATGACCCGTAAAGGGTCATACACACTTCAAATGATATGCTCAGCGATGGTATTCTTAGATGTCCCCTCGATAATATGTCAAGGAAATCCTCTTAAATGGGTAAAACACCAACTATGGCAATGGTCATGTCCCCCCCGAGATGTACCACAGAACTCCTCCCACATGGGCCACACATGGAAGAACAAATCACAAAGGACTTCCCATAGTGTAATATGTTTCTCACATTTATTAAATATAAACGCAGAGTGATTACTCACATACAAATCTTGGTTGACAGACCCATACTGGCATGTAGTGATAAAATGGCAGAGATGGGTGTATCAAGATGAGTGCACCAAGATGGTGGCTGCTGTCCGAACAGGAAACAATATCACCACGCTTCCGTCCTACACGTTGCATCACAAATCATGTGATTTCCTCAGGGTGCCTCAGGGTATTTACATTCCCTGTGATAGCAATAAAAGTGATTAAAAAAATGAAAGGAACAGTGTAAAAATAAAAAAAGAGGTAAAACTTTTTTTTTAAACTGCATACTCGCCCCCCCCCCCCTCTTGTGCGTGCACCTGCGTGCGCAAGCGTTGACCCCGTTTTGGTATGTAAACAGCAGTTGTACCATGCATGTGAGGTATCACTGCGAACATCAGATCAAGGGCAGTAATTCTAGCACTAGATCTCCTGTGTAAATATAAATTGGTGACCTGTAAAGGCTTTTAAAGCATCACTTATCAATATTATAAATGTATGTACTTTGTTGCCATTGCACGGCCATGCGCAATTTTAAAGCATGTCATGTTTGGTATCTATTTACTTGACGTAACATCATCTTTTATACTTTATCCAACAGTTAGGCAATATATTACGTTTTTGTGCATTCAAATTCTAAAAAGTGTATTTTTCCCAAAAGATTTGCGTTTGAAAAATTTCTGCGCAAATAGTGTGTGACGTAAAAAATTTCAACACCCACCATTTTATTCTATAGGGCCTCTAATTTAAAAAAATATATAATGTTTGGAGGTTCAAAGTAATATTCCTGCAAAAAAACCTTTTTCATGTGAACAAAAAGTGTCAGAAAGGAAAAGAGGAAGGAGCCTGACCATGGCTTGGCGCAGGATTCTCGATGTGAGAGCTCCCGTCTCCTGGCTCCCAAGCACCTCCAGTGTCCTGCCAAGAAGGGGAGAGATGTGCAGGAAGCCCTGGAGAGACTAGTTGGGGAGAGGGGGGGCTTGCCTGGTGGGGTGCGTGGACCGAAGACCTCCGGGAGTGGCGGCCATCGGTGAGGGTCTTCCTGTGCTCTCGGTCCAGCGCTGTGTGTTCCCTGGAGCTCAGTGGACGCCGGGCAATCAGGTGATCTCCTGCAAGGAACTCTGGGAGGCAGAGGAGCCGGCCGGCGTTTCTTGGCGCAAGGGAGATGCCGGCTCTCTTCCTCCTGTACACACAACCGTGGCAGCTGGAGACACGCGGAAACGGGCAGGGTGAATCCACCTGCAGTCCACTCATTGTGTGAGGGGAATGTTGAGTGCAATGTTCCCCAGAAGAGAGTACCTGGAGCCGCCTCACCCCTCACTTGGAGTAAAGGAAGAGATGTCCTAAAGTGTGGGAAAGTCTCTCAGAGAAGTTCAATCTCTATAGAAACCAGAGATCTCACATGGGGGAGAAGTATTCCTGATTTGAGTGCAGGAAATGTTTTTCATATAAGTTCTATTTTTATATATATACCAGTGATAATACAAGAGGGAGCAGCTATACCCTTGTTCAGAGCGCGGGAAATGTTTTTCACAGAAGTCCAGCCTGTACATATATCAGAGACCTCACATGAGGAAGATGCTATATCCCTGTTCTAAGTGTGGGAAATGTTTTCTCCGACAAAATTAGACTTTACATATATCAGAGATCTAACACAGGTGAAAAGCCATATGTCTGTCCTGAGTGCGGGAAATACTTTTCAGTGAAGCTCAGTCTTCACACACATCAGAGATCTTACACGGAGGAGAAGTTGTATACCTGTTCGGGGTGCAGGAAATATTTTTCAGAGAAGCCCATTTCTTCATATATAACAGAGATCTCATACAGGGGAAAAGCCGTATTGGGGACAAGAGGGTGAGTGAGAGCGGCAAAAGTACTGAGATTAATATATTGCATGGGAACTGAACTGTATGTATTGAACTATATATTTAAACTGAGGAGGGGTTCACCCAGGGGGTCTTAGAGGAAAATCAGAAGGAGGACAATGTAAAATAGACCTAGAAGAAGAGGACCCGGGGAGATGAGTCCGGGAGTGCGGGGAGACAAAAAGAAAGAAAAGAACTGAGAAGGGGATACCCATGGAAGACAACAAATGTTGATATCAAATCAAAAATAGACCCCCCCCCAAAACCAGAACTGCGGAAAATTGAAATAGTCCCTGACAGCATGAAAAACAAAGTATCAAAGGGAGGAGGGACTAAGGCTTCCCAAACAGGGTCAATTAAAAAATATATACCCTCACAGGAGAAACAGACTCCAGAGAGACAACAGGGAATAAGTGTAAGAGGTGAGAGGGAAAACGGCGGGGAATGTTCCAGACTATCCCTGGGAATAGCTAACAGTAGTCAACATATGGAAGAAGTGGATCTGGATAAAAGTAGAAGAACAAGAGGACAGCTCACAGATGCCTACTAAAGCAGAAATAGCAGAAATGTTTAAAGGAATGGAAAGATCCCTAAAACAGGAACAGGCGAAACTACACAAAGACCTGGGGCAAATATTATCAAGGGTGGAGTAGACGGAAGAAAAACTTGATAAACATGCCCAAATTATACAGAAATTAGAAAAACGGGCGATGGAAATGAGAAAAGAACAAAGAAATCTGTTATATGAATTGGAAGACCAGGAGAATAGGGATAGGAGATGCAATCTAAGGATACAAGGCTTTCCAGAGATCTCCCAAGGAGAAGATTTGATGAGAATAATAATGAGAATGCTGAATACTATAATGGATAGAACTATAACAGAACCTCTCAAATTGGAGGGAGTATATAGAATAGGAAAATACAAGAAGATAGAAAGGCAAAGCCAAGAGATGTAATAGTGCAATTCCATAATTTCTGGGATAAAGAAGAGCTTTGGAAGAAGATAAAAGGAAGATCAATATTAAAATATGGAGAAATAAATATACAGATCTTTGCTGATTTAGCAGTGGAAACACTAATAAGAAGGAGAACTTTGAAACCGTTATTGGAACAGATGAGAAAACAGAATGTTCGATGTAGCTGGGGGTTTCCAGCGTGTTTGATCAGATGTAGAAATGGACATTCAGCAAGACTGATATTTCCCAAAGATCTGAGAGACTTTTGTGAGAGACTTGATATACAGGAAATATATATCCCTGGTTGGGAGGAAGAAGGAGAAATGTGGGCTATGGGAAATGAGGGGAGGCAGGTAGCTCTAAGCAGAAATAGAGAGTAGGAATAGTAAAGAGGACTAAGATGGGGGGTTCTCTCTTTTTTTTTTTTTCTCTCTCTCTCTCTCCCTCCATTTCTGCCTCTCTCTTATGATCTTTGAAGTTTACTAGAGTATGGCAGGACATGGAGGATGAGACACGCTTATGGGGGAAAAGTTCATGGTCAGAGCTTCACCTTAAAAGCTGAATCAAAGGTGGGGTTAGGACCACAAGTGATTCATAGGCAAAATGTAAGCCTAAAGGGCAGGGGGGGACTGACAACTCATGGGGCCCCCGGGCAATAGGGGATCATGGGGCCCCTGTGTCCTTGCCCAAACTCAAAAAAGCCTATGAAAAAGGTACCAGGGGCATCTCATGGGGCCCCCTACTGACCCCAGGCCCTCAGGCAGTGCCAGAATTTCCAAATGGTCAGTCCGCCCCTGCTAAAGGGATAGTGGGGGGTGGGAGGAGGGAGAGAAGTGGGAGGGAGGGAGGAGGGGGGTGGAGGAGGGATGGGAGGGGGGTATGGGAAGGGGATAGGTAGTTTAAGACTCTGCCAAATAGTGGGAGAAACATCAGTCCAGAGAAATCCTAGAGATCAAAGGGAAAGATGTGGAGGAAAGAGGAAGAGAGAAGAGATGGGGAACTGTGTACTGACCCCGGCTTCGTTCCTGACATTGCTAGTTTTCCACCTGTCCTGACCTCAGCTTGCCAACTGGATCTCCTGTGTCTACTCCTGGTGTACCCTGCTCCCGCTAACGGTCTCCTCTACCTCAGCTGGGTGTACCTGGGGCCGCAACCTGGTTCCAGCTTTCTCCAAGTCCATCCCCACCCTCAGGGGCCCTGGTGAACAAGCAGGCTGGGGTTTAGATTCCACTCCCTGGGGAACCCCAAGCTGTGGTGTTATAGAGCTCACTACCATAGGTGCTGACAGTTTGCTCAGGCCATGAGCTCTTTGGAGACACTGCAGCCTGTCCTGGAACAACTTTAGGCTTTGGCACTGAGAGTTGAGGTCCAGCAGGCCTTCCAAGAACAAATCATGCACTGTCTGCAGGAACTCTACTCCTGGTTGGATCAGCTACAGCTTGCGTCCACTTCCTCACCCTCTGTTTCGGCCCCTGCTCCGGTTCCCGCTGCTCCACCTTCTGCCATTCTCCCAGTGGAACACTGTCCTTCGAGACTCCAGATGCCTCCACCGCCTCACTTCTCTGGTGATCTCAAAGCTTGTCAGGGCTTCATCAACCAGTGCTCAATCCACTTCGAGCTAGCAGCCCACCATTTTTCTACTGATCGTTCCAAGGTGGCTTATATGATTTCCCTCCTATCTGGTGAAGCATTGGCTTGGGCCTTGCCACAGTGGGAGCAACAAGATCCAACTATTGGTAGCCTCCCAGCCTTCCTGCAAGCTTTCCGTAAGACATTCAATGTGCCCAGCAGGACTTCCTCTGCCGCAGGAGCTCTTCTTCGGCTTTGTCAAGGTAGCAGGACTGTGGGACAATATGCAGTTCTGTTTCGCACCTTAGCCTTGGAACTGGCATGGAATAATGAGGCCCTCTCTGCAACCTTTTGGCAGGGTCTAGCAGACCGTATTAAGGATGAACTAGCTGGGAGAACCATACCCTCCTCCCTGGATGACTTGATTGCTCTTAGCATCCAGATCGATATCCACTTCCAGGAGCAAGATCTGGAAAGGGCTCATCCAAGTCACCCTCCAGTGGGTTCTCTTTCTCCTGTTTTCCAGAAGGTCCCTGATCAACTTACCTCTGCAACTGTACCAACGTCTGAAGAGCCCATGCAGTTAGGCCGAACACACTTTACTCCACAAGAGCGATTGCGTCGCTTAAGATTCTGCCTACACCCTACTGTGCCTTCTGTCCCCTGTCCTGTCCCCATACATCCTACAGTGCCCTCTGTTCCTTGTATCACCCCAGGTTCCTGTTCTGCACAGCCTGTTTTGTCCACTGTACAAATCAAAACCTTCTCACCTACTCCTGTGCCCTCCCTGGCAGCCTCCTCACCAGACCCTTCATCCTGGTCATTGGGGTCTGCTCCAGTCCAGATTCCTGTCGTATGTTCTCCTAGTCTTACTCCTTCTGAGGCAAATGTTTCCAAGAGTGTACATCGGTCAGCTTCTAAGTACAAAGTAGCTGCAGATTGTCATCACCGGGTGAGTCCCAAATATTTCCCGGATGACAAGGTTTGGCTCTCTACCAAGAGTATCCATTTACAGGTACCCTTTATGAAATGTGCTTCTCAGTTCTTTGGCCCCCTTACCATCCTTCGCCAGGTCAATCCTGTTGTTTTCAAACTCTGCCTCCCTTCACATCTGAGAATCCCTAATGTTTTCCATGTTTCTCTTCTGAGACCGTATATCAACAGATTTCCCTATTCTCATTATCATTCTTCCCCAATAGCAAGTTCCTTGGATCAGTATGAAGTCAAGCAAATCTTGGATTCTAAATTCATCAGAGGGAAGCTCTTGTATCTGATTGACTGGAAGGGTATGGTCCTGAGGAGAGGTGTTTGGATTCCTTCTACTGATGTTTCTGCACCCTGTCTGGTGGAATTGTTTCATTAGAGGTTTCTCCTTAACTTTGGCCCTAAAAAAGTGGGGAGACCTCGTAAGAGGGGGGGGTACTTTCACAAGTTAGCTTGCAGCCTCTTGGGGGTTTACGCTTACCTCCTTGCTGCTCTTGATTTCTTCACATGTGTGTTTGCCTGTGCTCACCTGTGGGTGGTGTCTGCTATTCCCTGGGTTTTATGTCCTTCCCTTCCATCACTTCCTGTCCCACCTCCTTGTCTGCCTGTCTATTTAAGATGTGCTCAGACTGGGCCACATGGCCTGAGCAACTTCGTCTGTTGTCAGAGCTCCCACGTGTTTCTCCTGTGATTCCTATTTAGTCTTTCTGTGTACCGACCCCAGCTTTGTTCCTGACATTGCGTGTTTTCCGCCTGTCCTGACCTCGGCTTGTCAACTGTATCTCCTGTGTCTACTCCTGGTGTACCCTGCTCCCGATAGCGGTCTCCTCTACCTCAGCTGGGAGTACCTGGGGCCGAGACCTGGTTCCAGCTTGTTCCAAGTCCATCCCCACCCTCAGGGGCCCTGGTGAACAAACAGGCTGGGGCTTAGATTCCACGCCATGGGGAACCCCAAGCTGTGGTTTTATAGAGCTCACTACCATAGGTGCTGACAGGAAGATAGAGGTGTGTGGAGAGGAGAATAATGGAAGAGATATACTTTGTGACTTCTAATGTTAAAGGGTTAAATAGCCCTGGGAAGAGATTTGGGATTTTTCAAGAAATTCAACATAGATTTTCTTCAGTGGTTTTTTTACAGGAGACACATTTGGTGCAAGAATCAAATGTGAAATTAAATTCCAGATATTATCCAATGTGGTTTTATGCAGATTCCCCAATTAAACGTGCCAAGGGAGTGGCAATAGGTTCTGCGAAAAATATAATGTTTAATCTGGAAGACAGATTGGTAGATCCGGAAGGGAGATTTATGTTTCTGAAGGGAAAATTACAGGA